AGAAACCTTTCGTGAAGTAGAAGGGACCAAAGCTCACTTGATCTTAACTTTTAGTATGATTTCACAATATGGAAGGGAAGCGTAACAAATTTTTAAGTTTGCATTTACCAACTGTAAAACACTTTCTTAGACCCTCAAACATTTTCCTAGAAACTTTATAACTTAAACTTCTGTTCCTTAGGCCTTTGTATCTAGTTATTTACCATGAGACATAGGTGAGACTGCTGTGAGCATTTATTGTCCTTTAGTTAAAGGGATGGTAAAAGGTTACATCTGAGGCCTGTTTTTTGAGTCTGATAGCAAACTAGACTGTCTAGTCCTAACAATAGCAACTCTCAGAGTGAGGCTTAAGGCCTGTCTCCTGCCTATGAAGAGAATTGAGAAGGCATCTGAAGTCTCCCAACACAGAAATTGGCAATATGACCGTGGGACCTGAGTGTGGGGTTAAAACAGATCTATAATGTTATCTGGACTTGGCAAGGCTGGTGGAGGTCACGGAATCTAGGAGCAATTTGCCCTCTGCCAGGCCAAGGAGCTGGAAGGTTGGAAACATCTGTGGCTCTTGTGCTGGTTGAGCCTCCATGGCTGGGCATAGAGGACAAGCCCGCATGAAAGCATTTTGACTCCAAAAGCCAGTCAGCCAGCAGGCAGCCATGGCTTGTTGAGGCAGCTGCAGGACCAGTGTCCTTTCCTGGCTGCATTTGAAACAGTTACCTGGAAGAGTTGACTTTTGGCTATACCCCAGTGGGATGGGGCATTACAGACCTCTTGGTTTTCTGTGGGGGAATGCCAACAGCCTCAGAGCAGCAGTCAAGGTCTGGAGCATAGTTTTTGCTGAGGCTGAGCCTATTGGGAACGCTCCTCTCTTATTTTTACCAGCTCCTGTAAGGTGACTCAGGAACCATCCTCAACTGTTTAATTCATATAGCAATGAGACCATGCCTGCATCTTGTAGGACTATAAATATACTTTTGGACACGTTAGAGGTCTTGATCATCTATGAAATGACTATTAACTTGTATTCATTAACCATTAAATACTAGGACTTTAGGTTTTGTCCCTGTTAAGTTGGAATCTTAAAAGTCATAAACATAGTTCATTAAAGCAAGAGCATAACAGTCCATAGCTTATAAAAGTCTAAGGCTATATTATAGATTAATAATATTATCATATTCAGAAAATAAAACCAAGCATGTTTTAACTTTTTAATAGTGAAGATATAGCATAATGACCAAGTTTTAACATAAATAAATAAATGCCTTTAAAATTAAATTAGATACTAATTTAGAGTATTGGTAAAAACTTGTATGTAGTAACCCCTGAGTTTTGAGTTTTAAAACCAATAATATAGTGGAACAGTATAAAGCAATTTTAAAATTACATTTGAATTTATTATACCAAAACTTTTAGCCAGAAAGCCTAGTGGTGAATCTGGAACATAGGCAACTCATGGCAGGACAAAGAGCATTTATTTCTTAATTTAGGAATTAATAAAGGCATAGGCAGTTAGACACACATTTCAAGCTTAATTTGAATAGACCTTTATAACCTTGAAATTTCAGCATCATATAAAAATTATGCTGAACCAGGGTTGAATCATATATATTGTAAAATGTAACTTTGAATTTTTATAAAAATCCATACCAATTTAAAATGAGACTTATTGCTGTCTTAGTCTAAAAGGAGATAAAATAAACAGAAAATTATGATTAAAATTGTTCACCTTAAAATGTGGTCACCTTAAGGTTTACAGTTTAATCTTAAGATTTTTTTTTTGATAGAGTGTAAAAAGAAACCAAAGAATATTTTTTATTCAGTGGGATAGCAGGCAGAGAAACAGACAGGACTTTAAGAAAAGAGAACTAGGGAATTCTTTTTATTTCATGGATCATTCTTAGTGTTACCGGATATTACTGGATATTAGACATTTGAGTAGGGCAAATATAGGTGTAGAAGTGAGAGTTTTCCCAAAGGGGAGAGAATATGAAGAAGCCATTCCTGAGAATGAGAAAGGGAAAATGGAAATGAACCATGGGACTAGTGGTTCATCAACCAAATAGCATGGCAGGTCAGGGGCTTAGAAGAACCAGGGCTTTATCAGCAGTAAGTCCAAGTTCTTGTAGAGGGACTCTCATCCTCGGGAAAGGATAGGAGCAGATAGGCAGATTTAGAATGGAGGTAGGAAGGGGCACAGTGCCCTTTTAGGGTCTACAAGAGACTGCAGTTTTGCAGCTCCAAAAACAGTGGGACAGAAACAAAGTAGTAAAAGCAGCTGGCAGTGGGGGAAACCACAGCATTTTTTTTGTTGTTGTTGTTTTTCACAACCAAGATGGCTGCCAATCATGCGACTGCCCTTGATTGCCCTAACTTAAGATGGCAGTGAAACCATGCGCTTACCCTTAGTGGAGATGGCAGGGAAGCAGTGGCTCCACCCTCTTTAACCCAAAATCAACATGTTCTGTGCAGCCACAGGGGCATGGCAGAACCAGGGTTGTAGGACTCCTGGCCTTGCTGATGGCATGGCAGTCCCTGCCTGGACACAGTTCTAAACTATCATGGGTGACATGGGTGAGCAGGTGTCGGCACAACTCAAAAACCCTGCTCCACACATAAGCACACAAGCGAGGAGGAAAATTTAAAATCCGATTTCTTGGAGCCTGAGGCAGTTGCAAAATTTAAAACCATTGAGGGCAGTTTTAAAACCCTCCATGCTGTGCGGGCGGGTCCCAAGGCCTGCCTGGCTTACCTAATAGTGAAGTCCAGCACTATTAGGTAATGTGATGAGGGTGTCAGTGCGAGAAAAAGTTCTGTTGTGGGCCATATCTGAGCAGCCACCAGAAGCAGGACAGACGGGTGTGGCAGCTGCAGTGGCAGTTTAAAGGATCATGAGAGGAGCAGGAGATGAAGGTGTGAGAGAAAGATTTGTTGTGGGAGGGCATATGAAGTGGGCTTCTACTAGAAGAGCCCTCCGGGGTTTCAGCACCAAATGTTAGTATTTATATAAAAATGCCATGCACACAACCAATCTTAAATCCAAAGAGGTTTTTGGATGGAGATGGAGAGAGTCATGTTGGTGGAAGGGTGCCCCGACAGAGAGAGGGGAGAGAGCAGGAGAAGGGGAGAGATCAAGAGAAAAAAAGGTAAGGGAGTGACAGAGTGCCAGGTTGGTCCTTTTCTGGAACAACTGAACCATGCCTGCCAGGTGGGACACATTATGACATCACAGGTTGCTCACACATTATGACCTCATAGGTTGCTAGACACCCCGGAAGCGGGCTGCCTAAACACTCACAGTAGGCATGAGGGGAACAGCCTCCTGTCCACACACGTGCTGAGGCTTGGAAACCATCTTTAAAGGGATGTGAACTGGGTGAGGCAGCACATGGTTACCACTTTGGATGCTGAGGGAAGAAGTATTGCTATGAGTTTGAGGTGAGTCTCGGATACAGAATGTACCTAAGATCAGCCTGGGCTGCATGGCAAAACTACTACAAGACTCTGTTTCAGGGGAAAAAAAAAAAAAAAAATATGTGAACTGACAGGGGGTTGAGCGCTTTTGTTAAGGACCAATGAGAAGGACACTCAAATAAGCAGGGCTAATTTACATTCAATCAACATTGATCCCTAAATACGTGTTTAATCAACACTGTGCCAGGCATAATGGGAGATACCAAGCTATTTTAGTAAGCAATTTTGAATCCTGAGGAAAATATGCCTCATTTAAAAATGTAAATAACACATTATTTTCAAATGGTGATGAAAATACCTATATGTAAGTGCTATTCTGTGAGCCAAGCGTGTGCTAAATGTTCTTGACCTAGTTTACTCTACATGGTACAAGGTTTATCCCAACAAATAAAAACACTAAAAGTCAAACAACTAAAGCAAAAAGACAAATGTCTACATAAACTAGAAGCAGAAAAAAAGTGCAGTTTGAACGGACTCATTGTCCGATCTTTACTAAAGAAATTACTATAGGAATCCAGGCGACAGGAAAAGCTAATAAGGCTGACCTTAAGCAAAGTCCTTTAGGCAAAGACAGGTTTCAGACAATGCAATGAGTCAAAGTGGAGATTAGCGAAGTGTTTTCGAAAGTGGTTACGTTAGGCTAGCTGTCCAGTTGAACTTACATGTGGGCCAGATTTTGGTGGACAATGATGACTAGATCAAAGAATGTGGCCTATATTTAATTAGCGACCTCAACAGCTAAAGGATGTTGTAGGACTCAAATCCTACTACTCTAAGTGAGCTGCAGGACTCTCCCAGGGGCTAAGGCCAGAGGCCACGGGTACCAGGAGTGTATGTGGGCGACACTATTCAGGCTTCCCTTTTTGCTTTCAGTGCTGGGCTTCACTTAGGGGATTCTGTATCCAGGTGAGGCCCAGTACAGGGTGGAGCCATGACGGCGGGTCATCGGAAAGGATGCCCAGGCGGCCATGGCGGACTAGCCTCTCTCATGCCTCTTGTGGGTTTGGCGGCCCGATCTGAGACTTTGTCACTGTCGACCCAGAAACAAGCCAGCTTGTTTTCTGCCCGGGTCCATGTTCTTTATGCTGTCCCAGTTTCCTCCCCATCAAGTTGCTACCTGGAGGTATCCGCTTGGTGGCGGGGGCGGACCAGGGGCGGGGCTGTGAGCAGAGGGTGCCGCCTCCTAATGCTGGCCTTTTGCTGGGGACTCCAAGGGTTCAGCTTTGGGGCAGGAGCTGGCCTGAGGGGTGGCTCCGCATCCAGGTAGCCACGACCTAAGGCCTCTGTTCCCTCAACCACAGCTGGGGTTGGAGGCCGGTTGAGGTAGGAGAAAGCTCAATGAGAGAACTTAATTCCAGTGGAGAGCACAGCTCCCCGCCGCTCCTGCGGGCCTTCCCCTTTATATTCCCACCCCCGCCCAAGGCGGATACTTGGGGAGTTCCAGTCCAAGCGGGGGGGGGGGGGGGCGGAGTCAAGAATAGCTGCGGCAGGCTCGCCGGCAACCTGGAGCCGCCTCCAAAAGCCCCCAAAAACAAAGGATATAGCAAAAGGCTTTTCTTTAGCCGAGAGGGACCCGGGTTTGTCTTGAGTGCCCTTGGGCCTAGAAACCCTCGGGGCACCTGAGGGCTCGGTAGAGGCAGGGCCACGATAGCGCCACCCCCGGTTTCCTCTCCCCGCCCCAGCGGTGTGGAACTCTGGTTGGCTTGCCTTGCACGTCACACTTTGGTTGTATCATTTTGAAAAGTCCTGACCTCCTCCCGCCCGGCCCGATTTGGATAACTCACTGAAGCTGTTTGAGGAGCAAGACAGCTTGGAAGCTGCAGCTTTAGCGGACACCACCAGACTGGTCCGGCGCTGTGGATCCTGTGCTTGGGCGAGATGCGGAGCAGGAGCAATTCTGGGGTCCGCCTGGATGGGTACGCGAGATTGGTGCAGCAAACCATCCTGTGTTACCAGGTAATCAGAGAACGCTCTGAACTCCCTCCGATATGATCCATTTTCCCCCAGACGTCCGTCCACTCTTGAGACTTGAGAACTTGCAGTTAGTTAAAAGGGTTTCTACTTTAATCCAGCCTTTGCTTATTACCCTCCTCCCTCATTGCTATCCTGTTCACTTTACCCACAAGTCAGGCTTTCTGATCTTTGAACAGCTGCCTAGGCTGCTTTTCCAAATGCTAGAATCTTTTGTCTGTTTTTTTTTTGTTGTTTTGTTTGTTTGTTTTTGTTTTTGTTTTCATCAGAACGGGCCCCCATGAAGTCCCTCCTGACTGCTTCTTTTGGACGAAAGACTTAGGTTTGGTTGAACAAAGCACCCTGAATGGGTATAGTGAACCCTACCCTGGGGACAGGAGATGGGAGTGAAAAACTCCCAAGGTTTACATCTGACTGGAGTATGGGCCATTGCTCCTGTCCCTTCCATGAGTTATCTTGTCAGAAGGCTACCCGAGAGGGCCCTTTGACCCACTCTAGTTGCTCCTTTACTGCTAACAAAACTTATGAGCACATAATATTAGCATCAAGGGGTCCTGTGAAGCTGTGCATAGGATCTCAGGTATGAATATGCCTGCTGTACTTTGCACTTGGCAAAAGTTATGTGTGAGTCCCCAATGTAAGACCACTGAGCTATTTTTGTTCCCAGTGAAGACAGGAGCTATAATGCTTGCCTTCCATCAACAGTAGCTATTTTTAGGGCTTTCAGAGTCAAAGAAGGAAGTAGCAGTTGGTGGCTTGAGGCTTGACCTACACATTGGGGACCCATGGTCATTTCCAAACCATCAACCTTTTTTTTTCTTCTTCTTAGCTATTTTCTCAAGGTTGGCCCCTCACCTAGCAAGTATTTATTGTGGATCTTTTCTATGTAAGACACAGTGCAGTGCCCACATAAAATGAATAAATGGTGTTGCTGGTAGTGTGGCTTTGTGGTCGTTTACCTGGCATTCTCAGTGCCCTGGATTGGATTGCCAGAACTACAAAAGGAAAAACAAAAATGTTCATATCACAGTGAATTTTATGAATAAGGTGTAAGTTCAATGTACCTTATTTGAAACACTCTGGGGCCAAATGTGGCTTGCAAGCCAAAAATGTCTGGGTTTTAAAAAGTCATATGCATACATGTACTGTACTAGCCATAGTAATACGGGCAGTATCCTTTATTTATATCCACTATTATTTCTGCATTGCAACATGAATATTCACACTAAGTGCAAAAAGTAAAGACTACAACAGAGTTTCACATTGGGCAAGCTTACCTTTTGTCACCAAAAGAACATTCTGAGAATGTAGGAGGAACATTTCCAGATCTTAGTGGCTTTGAGGATTGCTCATGAAGGACCATAGTGTTTATTTGAAGACCTTTAGAAGAAGACATCCCCCACCCCATCCTCCACCCCCACCCCACCAAGCCATATTTAGCAAGGAAGGAATACTGCAAGAAATGACATTCCAGTTGAGAGTTGAAGAGGGAGTAAGCAGTTAGGGAAGTTCCTTCTTACTTGTATTCTCAGGTTGCAATTACAACTATAAAACATTTTAGAAATGCCAGTTGAGAACTTTCTATGGTTACTGTGGTAGAAAGAGCTGTAAAGAGAACTGATAAAACTTTTTTTGTGTGTCAGACCAGGGTTTAAATAACCGAATGCCTTGAGCAACTTGTGTAACCTTTGTTCATCCTTTTTTTTTTTTCTGGACAGGGTCTCACAATGGAGTGAGTCCTGGCTAGCCTGGAACTCATTATGTAGACCAGGCTGTCCTCAAACTGACAGATATCTACCTGCCTTTGCCTCCTGAGTGCTGTGATTAGAGCCCAGCTCTCTGTTTATCCTTTCTGAGTTAATACCTTCATCTGTAAAATGGGAATATGGTTATTATTTCTTTAAATGAATGTCTAGTGTACTTCCAGGCACATTGTGTGTAATCAGTAGTCAGTGGTAATTTTCATATAAGCCACATGTTGTTATGCAGTCCTCGCATGACCATTCTGGCCTAGGATGCTTCGTTTCCTGGAAGGGTTGATGTTGTTACTGATTGTTTTCTAGTCTTTGGCCATAATTATGTGTTCCACTGATGAAGTCAGATCCTAAGTACAGAGAGCTTGGTGTCTCCTTCCTATTCATGAAGCAATGTTTCAGGCACATTATAGTATCCTTTAATCCTTGTTGGCAAAAAGTATTTCTTGTGGGTTCTGTGCTACCTTAATGGCACAGCTCTTGGTCCAGGCTTGCCTTTTGCTCAGGAGCAAAACAACTATCAAAGCTGTAGGGTTGGACTTTCCTCCCCAACATTTTAATGATTAAAAAGCAGTTGTCTAAGCTTTTAGTTGTATTTATTTTGGGGGTAGTCAGCAAGAGATTTTTATTGTTTCTCTTTTCCTCTGGATAACCAAAATACTCCAGACAATTCTAATGGGAAAGTATATGAATCTGCAAGTAGACAATTGCATGCCTCCTCATCCAGTGCTCCCCTAACCATCCTACTGCATCAGCTATTCACAGCTGTAGAGGCCTAACATATTTAGGGCCTTGTCATCTTTTCTGAGTGATATTAGGTAGGTTGTCTGTGTTCTGTATTTTTTATCACAATAAAAAGAATGAATAAAATGGGTTCTGTAGTTTCTGCTATATTGTGGTCTTCTGTAGGTATGTGCATGTTCCTGGCACATTTTTTTTTAAGTTAGTTCTTATAAGCTCCGAACTCTGTTTTTTTATCTGATCCTTAAATTGAGACCAGTTTATATTGGTTTCACTGTTTAGAAATTATTTCATAAGTAGGTCAAGCTGATCATTATTCTTACTTTTGAATCAGTGGTTTATTCATATCATGTAGCATGTCCACTAATTCTGTTTCTGTATCTGTAAAAGAGAAGAACTTTTTCAATTTGTCATTTAATATAAAATACTTGGCTATTATATGGTATTTGAATCTTTAAGGCAAAAAAGAAGAAAACATATCAATAAAAGAATCATTTAGCAAGTTTCATTTTGAGGAATCTATTCAGTAGTATAGACTTTTAGAAAGAAATTTCTAAATTTATTTTAGCATAGATAAAAATGTTGATTTTTAATATTTCTTCAGTAATGGCTCTATTTGAGGCTCATTAATTATGTGTGAAGTATGAAGCAGTAGTAAAAGAATATGAACCAGAAAATAATAATCAAATCTGTGTTCACTATGGTTAGAAATTACTGAGTTTGATAATTCAGAAAAGAGACTAGGGGGAAAACTACATTGTGTTTAATAACATAAAGAGAACATGGTATACGGAATAAATAACTAGTAACAACTAGCTGTACAAGAGTTTAATATATAATCAAGTCTAGGAAGCAGTATGACAGAAGGCTGAGACTAGTGTTAATGTGTTCTAAGTCCCCTATTGCCTTAGAACGAAGGGTAAAGGAATTGTAATAACTTTTAAGTCAAAAGTTTAAGAATCACCATTTAAATGATATAAATGGAGGGCTGAGAACATAGCTCAGTTGGTAAAGTGCTTGCTGTGGAATCAGGAGGGGCCCAGTTCTGTCACTAGTGCCCCTGTAAAAGCCAGGTGTTACATTTAATCCCAACATTGGGAAGATGGAAATAGGCAGATCACGGGAGCATCTTGGTCAGCTACCCCAGCTGAACCAGAAAGCTTCAGGTCCCAGTGGGAGATCTTGTCTTAAAAAACAAGGGAACAGTTTTTTCCCTTAAAAAACAAGGGAACAGTGGGAAGATGCTCAGAGTTGACCTCTGGCCTCCACCTACATACGCTCTTACACGCGTCAATGCATATACACCTAAACACAAACAATAATAACATGGATGGACAGTAAGCCTGTGTATGTTCGTCTACCCTGTATCTTTTTCCATTTATTTTTTGAGATTATAATGTTTCCCCCTCCAAACCCTCTCATATACCCCTACCAAAGAATAGAAGGAAAAAGGAAATCCATTCACTCAAGAAGAAGAATGCCAGAGTGTTAGGGCGGCTAGGAAATAAGACAAAGCATGATAAATATTATGAAGGGTAATAGAAGCAACAAGAAAGTCTATATGTTAGTAAGTACAATAAATTAATCGCCTAAACCAGTCAGATAATGGCAATTGTCTAAACTGTTTTAAAAGGTTCGTACATGTTTATAAACAAAGTCCGAAACAACACTGAAAGGTTGAGGTTAATGAAGTGAGAGACCATCTAATACAGAACAGATTTAAAAATTGATGTCATTAAGCTAATATCAGACAAAGCAGACTTTACAATTCTTTCAAAGATATATTATTAAGGATAAAGATATAATTACTAAATGACAAAAAATTCGCAGAAGAGCATTGGAAGTTACCACAGGATACTAACAACATAGCTTCACACTGCAGAGTTTGCCTAATTATAGGAGCAGTTGACAGATCAACCAGGGAGGTAGATAACAAAAGATTTGAACACCGGAAAAACAAACTCAGTATGTAGAACTCTACTCCCAACCAATAGAAAAGTATTTTTTTTTTTTTTATGAAAGTGATGACAATTACAATGTAAGGAAGTCACTTAAAAGACTGAAAATCAGCCAGGCACAGTGGCACAGGCCTGTAATCCCAGCATTCTGGGAGGCAGAGGTATGCAGATATCTGTGAGTTCAAGGACAGCCTGGTCTACAAAATAAGTCCAGGACAGCCAAGGCTACACAGAGAAAACCTGTTTTCAAAGGGGGAGGGGGCTTAAAGTCAACTATATGCATAATATACTTTAATCAAAATTAAGAAAATTAGAGAACTGCCTTTCAACTCATAGGAACTCAATAGAACTGCCTGAACAGAACTCAAGAGATATGCACGTCTCTGTCTCCTAGGTGCTGGGATTAAAGGCGTATACCACCACGCCTGGACCTAAGCTTTTTTTTTTTTTTACCTTAAACTTGCTTTATACCAGGCTGGCCTTCAATTTAGAGATCTGCTTGCTAGGATTAAAAGCTGTATTCCAGCTGGAT